TTTATAAAGATATGTTCTCATAGCAACAGAAAATGGCGCGTAAGCAATATCAGTACTTAGATCATTATAAAACTCTGTAGGTACTAATTGTTTAGTCTAAATATTACGTGTTTGGTTTTTCATGAGGTAAAAGGACACTATTGTAGATATCAATCACTAAGGCGGTTGTATTTTTGATCTATTAGGATCAGACGAAGATGGACATAGAAAAATGTGAACTAATTCAGTTTTAATTTTAGGCAAAGTACAGTATGCTAACATAGCAGTTGAATCGACGAAACGAAAAGAAATAATTATATTTGCTGTTTTCTCTGGGAAGTATCTTGAATATATTATCATTAGAACAGCATGAGTGACATATTGAACATGTATCTGATAATACAAGTAAAGTTTTACAGTATGATGATGTTAAATAAATCAATTGACGTGTTTAGAAAGTAATTATTAATGCGAACATTTTTTGAAATGTTGAAATTTCAGAGTACGCGTAACAACTATAAAAATTCTTATAATTTTAATTTATTTATTTATGTGGTATTTTTTTAACTAGATTATTTTAAAACCTCTAACAACATATATTAAATTTTTAACAATTACAGTTTGTGAGTTCCACACATTGGTACCGTCAGGGACCGCACTGACAATTCTTTTTAAAATAGAGATTTAATTTATCTTTATTATGGGGAAAAAATTAAAATGAATTAACACTCCTACTACTTTGTGATGAAGCTTTTTTCGATTCAGCATTGCGCGGACGTGTCGAAGAATGTCTACTGGTTGCCATTGCTGCTATGCAAATTCTCCTGAAAATAAAAATCGTTATTATTTATGCCCAGCAGCAGCGAACGTCTCTCCATTTTTTGTTCTCACCTTCACATGAAAGATTTTTTCATTCTCTTCAGAAAAAAGAAATTATAGCAGTAGGAGTATAGTAAGACATTGTTTGATGACAGAATGGTGAAGAAAGAAAAAAAGAAGGAAAGGTGACGAAAAAAATGTTTCGCGAGAATAGATGTCAGTTTAGATGAGCAAAAAGACTTCTGATTGTAGTATTAGCTAAATATCGCTAATGATATTTATTTTTGCTGAAAAAATTTGATGAGATCAGTAAAGAAAGTAATATATGAAAAAAAAAGAAGATTTAGTTTTGTGATAAAAACAAAATTTAAGGCTACTGTGAAGTTTCAATTCTCATGCGATTGACTTGAAATCTTAATGGCGTATTTGTACCCATACTTGGAATATATATATAAACCCAAGGGCAAATATGATTTGTGCGTCACCAGGTGTCACACGACTTCCAAAGCTTGCCCAACGACCAGCCCAATGGCTCAATTTTGCAACACAACCAGCTTTCACAACACTGGGACTAAACGATTTAATACTAACCCTTGATATTGTATTGCCATGATCAGTATACCAATAAGTTGCACCCATTTTTGGCGCTGGAATCGGATCAAGTTTATCTAACCCCAGATAATGACCAGTTGCTTTATCGGTGTACATGATAATAGGAAAGACACCAGCAGCATCAATTGCATTTCCAATCCACACTTCGGTATGTTGTGGTGTCATGTCTTCGATTCCCCATTTATTTGTGATCATCCATTCACCAGCATAATCCAAGAATCGAGAATTGTAGTTATATACTTCACAAACATAATTACAAGTTGCTGACCAAGTACATGTCTTTGTACTCGAATCGTAGAAAAAGAATCCAGTTGCATTGAAATAATAGTAATTGGTACCTGCAGTAACAATAAGTAATTGATTTGGATCATCCATGATCCAGGTTGACTGTGCAACATAATTCATCGACTGGATACCAAATATCCCATATCCATAATTACTTGGCAATGGATAAGGAAGTTTGTGAGCACTGATGTTCTGATTCGGACATAATTCACTTTTCTTATTTTTACAGACTTGAAAATATCCGACAGATTGAAGTGCAACACCTAAGTTGAATGTTATGCGAGCTGTACCAAATGGTGGTTGATTATCAATTAAGTCTTGTGAAGAAGGAAATGGAGCACCAGATAGAATAATATCGATGATATATAATTTTTTATCTAAAACATTGACTTGTAATACTACCAATTGTGTATTTGGTTCAGTTCGGCAACCAGATGCTACACCATTGTATCCTATAGGTGGGCATTGATAGTTCAAACTGTAATTATTCATTGTGCCCGAAACAGTTAATGCCCCAATGCGAGCATAATATGTTTGGTTCGTATTAGGATCAATGTAGGTCGAATAGTTTGTAGTCAAATTCGAGATTTGACTCCAATCATAAGTCAAACAATTGTCAGATATATTTCCATCAGCAGTCAACTTCAAAGTAATTTCAATACAGGACGATGGTATTCGTTGCATGTAAAAAAAGCCATCACATGTAACTGCAAACATATAAGGCATGGACATTAAAATGCAACGAGTACAGAATAGTCATTAGGAGAAAACCTTCGAAAATCCTTGGAACTTGGGTGTTGTATTTCGAGTCGGAAAGACTCAAGATTTTTCTGCTGATTTTCGACTATTTTTTCACCGAAAAGAACAACAAATTGATCGGAACTCATCAGAAAAATTCGGTTTATTTCTGCACCAGAATACGATGTCCAAGTTTCATAACTTTCTAGTATTTTATGCTGGGACTAGGAATTTAATTTTAACTTTGAAATAACTCTGATAACTAAATTTTACTGTGAGAAAATAAGCCAACTCACCTGTTCCAGTAAGGAAAAAAGCCATAATTGCCAGCACAGTTAAGATATTGGTAAAAGGCATTGTTTTGATTTACTTGTAATTATGAACTTATTTGTGATGTTGGTTTATATGTTATTTTTTCTATAAACAAATCTCTGATTTAACTGTTAATGTTACTAGAAGTACAAAGGTCCAAATAAGAGTGTCTAGCGCTATCCTTTCTAGTTATTAATAGTGCTATGATGTGCGTATCTATATTTGTGTAGACTGACTCTAGAAAATATATCTGTTTAAATTATCTTATTTCATTTGTAATTATAAATCCACCTTTTTTTGTCTCCAGTACTGAATAAGAAATGGGGTCGTAACAATATCAAATATTTCTCAATAAATGTATGCTCTTCGAAGGTATAACTTATCTTATCTATGATTGAAAATTAGAAAGAAGAGCATGTGAAAAAAATCTAGAGATCAGAAATTGCAGCTGTTCACAGAAGTTTATTGAACCATTATCCAGTCAACTATGGGAGTAGATCTTTTCCCATGATGGTCTAGGATTCAATCTCATTAGTTTGCTAACATGTTTCTCATCTTTGTAGACACTTGAAAATCGAGTATCTTAATTGAAAACCGTTCTGTAATCAATTTAGACTAATCATACAGAATGAATCCGCATGTAAAGTAAGAAAAATGCTTGCGATTGTCATGAATCAGTGGCAAAACAGTGACTGCAGCTGGATATTGAAGAGTGTAAGTTATCAATCTTGAGAAGATGCTCCAGTTTCTCATTTCGTGAAAACAAGTACGAGGATGTGAAGTAGGTGTCGTGGATTTACGCTGTTGATGCAGATGTATGAGTGAAAACGACACTCAAATCTCTCCTCGCACTTAAAATTTAGAATTTATAAGTAAACATATCCCAATATGCCTAAGTCTATTTTTTTAAAAATAAATTTGTCACAATCTATCACCAGATTAAGAATATCATTTTTCGTGCTAGACTCTTTAAAACAGCTAAGTAACATTTGATTTCTTGTATGTAGATAAATGAAACCTGCTTCACAAAACGAGACAACAGCCTTAAATACTACTGGTGCCTGCAAGTCAAACTGCCAGTTTCCTGTCGTCTAATCAACAAAAGTTTTTATATGGTTTTGCTGTTCATGATATTGGTTATGATTTTGATATGTTTCTAAAGATGATGAAATGAACATTTCTTTTAAAACAATAAAATCACAATTGCTCCCCAGTACACATTATTTTCTTTCCTACCTCGAAATGAATCTCTAATTCACTGTTATATATAGAATTAATCAGATATTTTCTGAATACAATTTCAAGAAAATCACCATGCAATATTATTTTTATTATATCGATTTCTCTCTTTATTCGAGTCTTCAAATCATAAAGATATTTTACGATTGTTTTGGGTACATTTGATTTGAGATGGCCCATAGATAAGAGTTCAATGATATCCTACGATTTGAAGACTCGAATGAAGAAAGAAATCGATATAATAAAAAATATGTTACATGATGTTTTTTTTGAAAGAGTATTTATGAATTTTGTCTTTATGAAAGAAAAAATTGACTAGTCTTCTCTTGCAAAATGAAAAAACATATTAGAGTAAGCTCGATTAATCATGGAGCTATACACGATGCTTAAGTGATCATTACTTTTGAGAGACACTATATAAATGAGATATCCTCATTATAGTTCATGCATACTTTCCAAAAAACTTTTATTTCAATCAAAATAATTCATCTCGTTTCAACTCTATGACTGTATTCCAAACCTACATATGTTACACTTCAATAAACTGCTTTTTTTTAACCTTGTTTATATTTTCATTAGAGTAAGATTCTTATTGAATTCGTTGTTAACTAGTCAAAATTAGAAAAACAAATTTGCTCACATCATGTCACAGTAGGACATTTGTTAAACTACCTTTAATGTATATGTCTATTTCTTCTATAAAATATGCAGTAACAGTCACTAAATTATTCTCATCATCACACTCGGTATTATATTTGTACCTTATTTAGCGAAAATAAATATTCTTAACGATAACTTGATAGAAGGACCGAAATGAAACCTACGACTATAAAAAAACAATTATTCCAATATAAAGTCTATATCAATAGCTATACTTCAAAACCAGTATTTGTTTTGTTGCATAGCTAGATATCCAAATCTTAATGTACTAATCAATTGAAAATGTAGTAATACTAACTACTGCGTGATTCGTTATTTGATGGTACTCTTAAATAAAAACTAGTAATGAGATTATTGCGCAGTATCTACGATTTTATATGCACGGACGGCTTGCGTGAGCGAATGTTTGCTATACTTTATAGGCTTTCCTGCAATATTTGACAAGAAAGCTAATAGAACAGCAGCGATTGAAACATAGATTTTCGTTCGTTCTTTCGATGATCGTGCAAATATAATTCGATTTCTAATAATAAAATACTTTTGCCTCGTGGCTCGGTAATGCAATAAAAGTTGTCCTATTTTTCTCTTTTATTTTTGAGCACAAATATTGGCTGCTGTTTGATGATCATGACTTTGGCTTCGACGACGGTTGACTCTATTTGAAACAAGATCACAAGTCTTCACATTCATTTGTTTTGTAATCATATTTATTTTGTAACTTCTGCAAATATGAAAGTCATTAGTTAGAATCAGAGCGTAAATAAGTTGAGTTGTTGTTACAGAATTGCTTTATGAAGTGTGTGGGTGTACTTGGCTAGGCATGTTTGTGGACGTGAAAATCTCGAACTCATTAGCGGATGAGCTTGATGTAAGACTCCGAGGAGTAGAGAGCTTGTAAACATGAAAAGAAGACACTCAACCTTCTTCAATCTTGCTTGGCATGTTTATATTACGAACTGTGGTGTTGCATTCGTGTAAAAATCGGCGACTCCTTGTTTTTGAAGCACACACAAATCTTTATGTTCTGAAGGTTCTTTTTAATTCGTGCATGAGTTAATGGCAAAAGAATGAATAATTGCATGTTCTCATTTCTGTTCTGAAGTAAAGGAATAGTCAT